TCCATGAGCATCTTAAAATGCCTCAATTTGGGTGTCTGTATTTATGCCACTTGGGGCATCTTTTCCAAGACAACTTCCTAATTTTGACTTAGCCAGGTCTTGTTCATACGGACAGGTTTTTATCTACCTTGCCTTACACATGCCTTCTTATCCACATATTTATAAATACTTTCACAAGTCCCCCCACCTTTCCATTAGTCAGGGTCATTCCAGCGTCCATACATGTAATAGTAGGATCATTACAATATCGATAGATGACATTTATTAACATAACTAACTAAAATCCTTATAATCAAGAAAAGCATTCTTGATTTAACTCATTAGGATTCACACAGAAAACATTTTAGAAAAGGAGGATGTGGGTCACATAAAAGGCAAGATGGGCTAATGTTTGCCATTTTAGTCAGTTGTTAGCAATGCTGATTGTTTTAATAATACCCACATTGCGTATTGCACGTAAGGAAACTCACAAATTAAATAGCTTAAGGATCTTAGATATCTTCATTTCCCGTGTTATGATTTGAGATGAGGCAAAGAAAGTATGAACTATTGAACTGATCCTTGTAATTAATTATGGCGAAGTGTCAGGGACTTACTAGCCATGAGCATATTTACATGTTTAATTGTTTTAATTTTCATTTTTGCCTATAACTGAGCTTCCGTGCTGTTCACACATAAAATACTCTTTTGACTGATCGTAGGCTGGAGCTGCTTATAAAAAAATATTAGGTATAATACTTTGTCAGAAACTTAAATTTTTTTTTTCACTGTTTTTTTGCTTTCTGCGTTGGGGTTTGTGTGTACCTGTGCTGAGATACCTCCCCTCCACCCCTTTTAAATAAACCTCCTGCTTTTAACATAGCAACATTTGGTTTCTTTGGGAAATTAAGATTGTTAACTCCTTGTCTCTGAGTAAAAGTAACTGGGTCAAGTTCAAGTATTTACTTCCATTTTCACCATTAGGGCAATAAGCAAGCCACAGGAGATTGATATGGTTCTCATTTTATCACTGCCTCATCCATACGCATGTTAGCAATTTGCCATCAGCATTCTGGAGAGAGAAGCTGAAACATAGGACATGACACATTTACCCTCCGTTCCATGATGGCAAACAGTATTAGATTCCGTGTTTGACTGACCATCGAGTGACATCCTGTGATCTTTGGAGGCAAGGCCCTTCTTCACTGATCCTTAATGTTAGTATACAATTCCATTTGCTCGAAAATTACCAACTATATAAGTTGCTAGGTTGTCCCAGATCCAGCCACAGGACTGGTGGATATATATGCCAGAGGACAGATCCTTCTTCCCTACTTGCCAGTGTGGGTCCTACACAGTTTTTTGGTTTTGAATTGAAAAGGAGAAACTGTCTATACCGTGCCTGCCACCAGATTTAGAGAGGTCAGAAGACTCTTGTGAAAAACTGCAGCAGGTATTATTTCCATGAACAGGCAGCTGGACCCTCTTTAGAACAACACCGTAACTCACACTTTACTGCACATAAAGCCACGTCCCTGGGGGTCAGCTCTCCAGTGTCACGGTGTTGGTGACTTATGAGCGCTGTCCTTGTGGGAGACCATAAACAAGGCAAGGTGCTGGGAGAATTATTTTCCTGTACAAAGAGCCACTTTACCTTTTATTATGTAGGGAAAAGCCATGGGCATGCTAAATTTTTAATGGCATTGCCAAGCTAAGCATGATCTGCAGCTCAAGTACATACACTGATGGGTTGAGATACTTGAGAACAGAATAAAATAAAGGGCAGCTGGCTCTGTCCACTCGGAGTTAGGTTCCTGGCAGAGTTTTTGAAGAATACCTCTCAGTAACCATGCCAGGCTTCTGATATAGATGTCCATTTATCCACGTTCCCATATACTTCCACCACTAAATTCACCCCACACTACACTAATCGGTGCCCTTTTTTTTTTCTTTAATTAAAAAAACAGACATTTTTTAAAGACTAGTTTTAGATTCACAGCAAAATCTGGACGGTACATAGATTACCCTGTACCATCCTACCCCTTATCAAGTATAACCTCCCCCATGATCAGCATCACCCTCCAGTTTATACCCAAGGTTCATAGTTTACAGGAAGGTCCACTCGTGGTGTCGTACATTCTGTGGGTTTGGACAGGTATATGATTCCCTTTATGCACCATTGTAGTATCATGAGAATCATTTTCACTGTCCTAAAAATCCACCCCTCTTCCCCCAGCGCCTGGCAGTTCCTGACCTTTTTATTGCCTTCATTATTCTGCACTTTCCAAAATGTCTTACAGTTGGAATCATTCAGTGTGGAGCCATTTCAGGCTGACGTTCTCCACCTAGTAACGCGTGCAGTGAAGGTTCCTCCGCATCATCCCATGCTTGATAGCTTATTCCTTTGCAGTGCTGTGTAATCAATCATGTACCACTGTGTATTCGTTCTCACTGCCTTATTTTTTGAACTCATTTGTCTCAGGGCTAGGACTAGGGTGAGGTAAGTGAAGCACTCAGGAATCAAGATAAGTAATATGTTCATGCAATCATTTTTTTAAATCAAAATCAATGCCAAAAAAAAACATTCATGAGCAAAATATCAACATTTTACATTTCAGCATTCCCGTGTAGCCTCTGATAGTTCTTTTCTCATATCGTGTTATGCCATTAACATTGTGCCTGAGCAGGGGAGGGTCCCCCATATTTCCTTCCCCCCAATTGTGAGGTCCCTGTTCTCAAACTACATCACCCCTCTCTTCTACCTCTTGAGTCATATGTACACCTCCTTTCCTGGGTGTGGCCTAACTTCTCAGTTCATTGAGGATTTTAGTTCCTGGCTTCCTGTCATCCACACCACTGCTTCCTCCCTCCCTCCCTTCCTCTTACATTTTCTTAACAGAAAACAATAATTTGCGGAGTCCTCTCACAAACAGTGACCAAGGCTTCCCCCCTTCCTGCGATCTGGTGGGGAAGGGTAGGGTCACAGTCTCAGTCCACTGGATACTCATTTTCCACCAGTCGAGGGCCCTGAGCTTACCGTGCCCCTGGTCCAGGAGTCTCGCTCCAATTTCCACCCATGGCCCAAAGTGTGAGTTGGAGAGCAGCGACGCCCGGTCCTTGCTCTCTGGGCCTCACCCCAAGTGGCCAACATGGCAGCATATGGACAGGTCATCTGGTCAGCCTGCATCTTCACAGTGACCCTGCAGATGCCAGAAAGCTCAGTGATGTGCACGGCATCGCCACTGAGGGATGCACTGAAGACATTGATTGTCTCCTTCACCTGCATTCTGAAGCTGGTGACCAGTTCTTTTATTCTGTCCTCTTGCAAGGTGCTTTTTCTGGCATCTTCTCCAGATTCCGCCACCAGAAAGAGAGGGCCCTTTCACGAATTTTTTTTTTTTTAAGATTTATTTATTATGCATACAAGAGCTGGGGTACAGACCAGAAGTGTGGGGGGTGAGAGGATTCACCAGAGACAGAGTGGGGAACAGAACAGGCAGACTGACCGAAGTATACTGCTGAGGGGAGCAGTGGGGGAGCAGCGGGCAAGTCAGGAGAGGTCTGCTGTGCCATGTGGGTTGCTCCCTGGCCGGCCAAGGATTGAACTTGTGCTGCAGAGGCTGCATACAGCTAATAGGCTGCATCTTAACCCTTGTGCCACCAGGGAGGCCCCTCCTTTCATGATTTTTAAGTGATTATAACACCAACCTCCATGATTCTTTCAGTATTCCCATTTCTCATTTGCTTGACTTTTATTCCTCCAGTGATCTCACCTTCATCATTTTTTATTAGCCCTTTCTGATAGGCAAATCCTGCTCCTTGCAGTCACCAAGCCATTTCAGCTTCCAAGTTCCTAGGTGCTGCTTCTTGCCTCCTCACCCATGGAAGTGAGTCCCCACAAAGGCCCCCCAGTACTGTAGCTTGTTAACTCTGCACCACATTCTTCTTTTTCCTGCAGTGGATTTCATGATCCATCACCCAGAATGACCAATCCCTTATGCTCAGCACCCTTCATTGTATTTTTCTGGCAAAACAGCACCCCTGGTGAAATACAAGATTTGTGCAAGGGAAAGTCCATTTTAGAAATAAATTTTTATGTGTGTATTTTTATTTCAAATCTCTGTTCATTATCTTTAATAAATATAAATGATATGCTAGTCCACAAATATATTTTAGTTGATCGTGTTTCATATTTCATTTTGAGGGCTCAGTAAACACCATGATTTAATGAGAACCATAATCAAAGCAAAGGGCTGTAGTTACCCAGGGGAGAGATTCATGAGTGGTGATTTTATCTAAATGACACCTGTGATAACTGTTGGATAAATTATTCGTATCACCAATTCCTTTGAATAAAGAGAAGGGCTTTTATATAGCAAGCTTGCTGTGTGTCATATCCTATATGTAAGATGTTTGCCTAATTAGGATGATAGGGGTGTATGACATGAAAATGAAGGTAATAGCTCCAGTTGTATCCACTGTAACATTTATTTAGGATATAACAGAATGTCATCCTCACACCAGTTTACTTTGCATTGAAAATCAACCCATATTTATTGAGGAAACCCTCTCTCCCCACTTTCTAGTCTCTCCTGGAAAAATAATAGTTTGAACCTGAGTGAGTACAGTAGAATGCAGTAAGTATATTGTGTGATATTTTGAGTGGACTGATGAGGAGCTTGTCGCTGCATCGTTTTTTAGGCTGAATTTTTTTAAAAATTATTTTATTTATGCAAGCACTGGGTACAGTCAGAAGCGCAGGAGGGTGAGAGAATTCACCAGAGCCAGAGCGGGGAACAGAACAAGCAGACTGACGAAATACACTGCTGAGGGGAGCAGTGGGCACTGCAGGAGAGGTCTGCGCGTTAGGCTGAATTTCTTAAGCTTGATCACAGCAAGAATGGGCTTTGCGCTTTGGAGGACAGCAATACCTTCAAATAGTAGTGGTGGTTGATCAGGTGCTGGCATGTGCCAGTCCTTTCTTTCCACAGCTAACGATTGACCTTTCTTGTGTCCCCCAGGTCTACCCTGAGCTGCAGATCACCAATGTGGTGGAAGCCAACCAGCCAGTGACCATCCAGAACTGGTGCAAGAGGGGCCGCAGGCAGTGCAAGACCCACGCCCACATGGTGATTCCCTACCGCTGCTTAGGTGAGCGTCCAGCCCTGCCTGGTATTACTCAACCTGGTCTGGGGTGAAAAAGGAGGCTGCCCCCATTAGGGCAGATGCACACGCTTCCTTCTGCACATTGCACTCTGTGTAGGGCTGCATTTTGGACTAGTCAGGTAGTGCAAATAGTCCTTAATAGCAGAGAAACAATATTTTCACACTTCCTGCCTCTGAATGAATTTGCCCAGTGTGTTTATTCCAATTGCAGATTCTTGGGCTGATCCCAGGACTGCTGACTGTAAATACCTGGTGGTGCAGTCCAAGAATCTGATTGTACCAAATTCCTGAAATGATTCTGATGCTTGCTAATAATCTATACTTGTAGAATTAGGACCTTACGTGTTTCTTCACGTCCACCTTATAGAAGAATCTAAGTGAAGCTCCAACATTTTGATGATTGCTTTCCTAAAACAGCTAACAATGACTTCTGTTGGAACATACAGATTTATGAGTTGAGGGTTTTTGTTTGTTTACATCAAACTGAAGGAGATAGTTTGATCATTAAAATGTAAATGTGTGCTTCTGTTACTGACCTGAAATTTGAGTAGCCTATTTAAAAACTGAGTTGGATGTGGTGTCATCCCTTTTACCTCTGAAAATGTAAATAATCATACTCCGTGTTGAAACTGAGTGTTTCTTGTCTTGGTCCCTCCGCACTTGATGGTTCTGTGTGACTGGACAGCAGCCTTTGACCTGATGGCCAGCAGCCGGGTGCTCCCCCACACTTGTACTCAGCAGTAGGACGCTTGTCAGGAAGAGAAATAAGGACCTGTGTGAACAATGTGCAGTAGGGTGACTGCTTGTAAGGACTAAAGGAATCTCTTAAAAATGTATGTTCTTAAAATCCCAACACAAAAAGTCAGGATAATCAAGAGTGTGAAGATAAGTATAAGTCTTGGTCAAACACACATGGTCTAAGAATGTCCTCACTGGGCATATGTAGAATTTGGACACGAAGTGTGTACACTGACAGAGGAACATAGATTTCATCTGGTGGATTTCCTGACAATGCAATTGAAGAGAGTGTGGAAAAACCAGATTCTTAGATTTTTGGTAACCAGCCCTTTCCGTGTTCATTCTTAGTCCTTGCCTTTAAATACTTCACAAGGCCTCTAACCTTTTTTTTTTTTTTTTTAACAATCTGGTCACCAAGTAAAGATTGACTAATAAAAATCATTTAATGTTTAAATGCTAGACACAGAACTCCAACTTCAAGAAAATATAAGGGCAGCTGTGTCCAGAAGCTGTGTAATTTGAACTTATTTAGTTATTGCACCAAACAACCATATAATTCATCACAATTTCAGTAGCTGAGGGCCCAGTTCAGTTAGGGGGATCAGGCCCCGTTGGTGGTGTGTCCCTTTTGGATCTCACTTGCCCATTCTCTGAAGTGCTTTGAATAGATTTCCTTTGAAATGCAAGCTCCCTGGGCAGAGGCACTAGGTCTTTGGAGAAGCCTTGTTGCAGTGACACAGCTGTGACTGTTAAAGTCCAGAAGTGGACACTTAGCATTTTGCTTCCATCTTCCCGCTTGGTGATTCAATTCAGAATTGTTAGGATTGACCAAAATGTGGATTTCACATTAAGATTGTCATTCGCTACCATAGCACCAGTGAGTTGTGACAAATATCCTCTGAACCCTAATTGACTGGATCCCCTGTGCCAACTGCCCTCTCTGCCCCTGCTCCCCAACTCTGCCCCTACGGTGGGAGTGAATTGAAGCTCAAAGGGGGGAAGCATTAAGAAATGGGATAAACAGTGTATAAAATATCAGATCAAAACGTGAGGAGATTTTATGAAAATGCGATGGTCACTTGTCAAAATGATGTGTTGTATAGTGGTAAATTGCACAATGCACCATCAGGGGAAGCTTCATCCTCAGTAGTCTCACTTCACAGCGAGGTTGGGGGTCTCTCTGTTACTCACATAGCTAGTTCGGGGTGGAATCAGGCCTAAAGCCCCATGAGCTTTTGATTTTCAGTGTTCTAGTATTAGCAAAAAAATTGCAAGAAAACAAATAACCTACCTGACTTAACTAATTCTAGTGAGGAGAGGCTGTGGATTGAAATCAGTAAATAATACTTAAAAAAACTCACAATACATATTGTATTCATAAATACCGTGATGACAGTGATGACCCCAAGATCCCAGAAAAGGATAAATCTCTGCTTATCCCAGAAAAGGATAAATCTCTGTTTTTCATTTTATTGAATAGGCAACATTCCTACATATTACGTGCTGCTTGAACAAAGAATTGCTGTTCAGCTTTACCAAAAATATCGTCTACACTCTCTGCATCTAAATACATCCTTTAGATGAAGATTATTTTAATGAACTGAGTTCTTAGAAAGGAACTACCTAGTAGAAAACAAAATAAGGTTGTCTTACACATTAAGCATATTAAAATTCAAAACAAAGCTTGAAGAGAGAAAATTGTTCTCTAATGTCTAGCATTCGACCTTCTCCACCTTCCCATGTGATGCAGGATCCTGTGTTGCACTGGATATTTCCCTCTAGCTCATTGCCTCGGGCGTTCTTGTAGGGGTATCTTGTAATTCTTTACCTAGATGGAGAATGTGTATCAGGTTGCTTTTCTGCTTCCTGTGGAGTGGATGATCTTCCTGGAGAGTGAGTTGGCTTTTCTCATTTCACCTTTTGCTTTTGTAACCACAGTAGATGATCTGTCTCAATCATATGAACATTTTATTAATTATCTTATATGGGATTCAAGCACATCATTGTCATCACTTGAGGAGAAAATGTTCTTTGCAAAGCTTTCAACCCTTTTCCATTTAAATGACACTCTTAAAATTGACATTCTGGTGCATTTGTCTTTGTCCAGTATAGGTAAAGTACTCCGCATAAGATAAATTACTGTTGATTTCCATGGACAGAATAAAGGGAATAGCTTAATCCCAATCCCAAAGAATTAGAAGTTAAAGAATTACTACCTGAAATGTCATTCTGTTTCATTTTATACCGAAGACTTTCCAAACATACAACTAGTAATCAGTCCATTCAGATATGGTCAGATGAGAAATTGAAATGATTCAATTTTGGCATTCGGATTTCCTAAACTTATTCTCTAGTATTTAGGAGGAAAGTATGATTGAAAGATGAACAACATATTTCGAGCATCGTTCCATTTAACACTTTTGTCGTTCTCCCTGATAGTTTGTTTGACCTAATGGTGGTTGTGCTTTGTGAACATTTTACTTTAATAGTTACTTCTGGTAGAAAATATATTTTATTTCTAGAACTGTCCAACTGCCAAATTAAAAGAAGTCTCCACTCGGACCTCCCCGGTGGCGCAGCGGTTGAGCACTGGGTTGCGAAGCTGCCTGCAGCCTCTGCAGCGCCGGTTTGATCCCCGGCTGCTCCCCGGCCACCGGAGGAGGGTCCCACAAGGCGCGCAGACCTCTCCTGCCACCCGCTGCTCCCCTCAGCAGTGTACTTCGGTCCTTCTGTCTGTCCTGCTCCCCGCTCTGGCTCTGGTGAATTCTCTCACCCTCCCGCGCTTCTGACTGTACCCAGTGCTTGTATAAATAATAAATAAGTAACTAAGTAAATAAATAAATAAACAAATCTTTAAAAAAATAAATAAGTAAAAGAAGTCTCCACTCTCATCTTGGACCAAGTGTCAGCAGCATTTATCATCGGTCATTCATCAGAGAGAGCTTGGAGCAGAGTCATTAAGCATTATGAGTCATTAGAAAGAAAATGAACAACTTTTTGAAGTTTGCTGTCACATTCAAGAGGTGTCCTCTGTTGGTTGTGTGTTAGTAAAACACAGAATTCACCTATGTGCATCCAGAAGATAAGTGAGAAAAAAAGGAATATCAGTTTATTTAACATGATAGTTTCCCATTACTTTTTAGAAATGCATTGACATTAAATAGTGAAGTTAATGAGTCTCTCATAGTAAGTTAAGGCTAAGGATTGCAGTTGTACATTTGAAATACTCCTCTCTGATTATAAAACAAATACATGTTCATTGTATAAAGTTTACAAAATGCAACCACAACCAAAAATTAATAACCAGAGCCATTTGACTTCCTTTCAGATGTCAAATATATCTACTTGGAGATGTTTTACTCTTAATAATTTTAGCAAGTATATAATTGTTTCCTGTTTTGTGATCTGCTTTTTTTTTTAAACTTAAGTATTTTAGGATACTTTATATTCATGAAATTAAGTATTCTTGGAAAGCACAATTTTTATTTCTTAAATTAATTATTTTTAATTGAGGTAGTATTTGGATTCCCCATTCAGGCATTACCCTAAAGTGCACCCACCACCAAATCACCCATAGTCCACCATCATAACCTATTGTGAAAAGCACAACTTTAAATCTGGTATTATGTGAGATGCAGCAATGTGTTCCTTTATTCATTTGTTTTTGGCAATTCAATTGTTTCCTTTATTTAGTTGGGGTGGTTGTTTAAATGATGTTATGATAAATATCATAGTAGATATATTTGCATTCATTTGATTTTTATAAACAATTATTACCTGAATGCCTTGTAAACCTTAGTTAAGAAAATAAAATATACATGTTATCTCATTGTATATGAAAATATGGAGGAAAATTTTAGTATTGTTTTATAATCCTGGGTTCAAACTAAGTCTTTGTACCTCTACCTTTAGCTGTTTTTTTTTTCCATTGACCATATAAAGCATCCATTATTTTTATTATTTGTTAGTAATAAAGGGACTACTTAAAATAATTTTTTCTCTGAGGTTTCCAACTTGGAAAACAATTGACTAATCACAGTGGAACCTTACAAATGTGATTGGTGAAAGGTATAATTATATATTCATTGAATAAGTACGTATTACTTATCTCAGCCTGGGAGATAGGTAACACGTAGGTACAAGAAATTCTAGCTGAGGAATTTGAGGAAGACTTGGCAGAAATTAGCATTTCAGCCATGATTTCAAGGGTGGGGCAAAAAAATGGAGCTGTGTTTTAGATATTTAGA